AAGCATAATGATCAACCCATTTACACGTCCCAATGATGGGCACGGGTCTCCTCTCAGGTGAGGGTTTGGGGACTTCATACGTTTTTCCGAGCGTTGTGAATCTTCTTCGGCATGCTGGTTTCATCACGATGTTTTTCTTCACCGAAAAGCTCATGGTAAATTTCAAATTAAACTTAAAATTTCGCACATAACATAAATTCCGAAACGCTCACAGGTGCGAGCCCAGGTCCGAACCCACGGCCTCTGCTGGACAGGCAATAAGTCAAATCATTAGTTGTACCATAACCCCTAATAACCAAAACCCATAATAAATACGCAGTCAATTTTAATTAAATACCTATATGTTTCTGTAATATTATTTATTACACATTAGTCGAATGCGGTATGGATTGACGTAAATCCTACGCATCAGGCCACGAGTCGCGGGGGCATAAGCCAAACGATCAGAATGGTTGTATAAGCAGCCGCCAATTATACCTGTACGATGATCGCATACTCCGCGAATGTGAAGACCGTTTCATGACAACGTGACAAAAGACGTTCGTTTAAGTGGCAAGGGCTAACGAACTGCATATCTAAAGGTGTTTCAGACTGCGTAATATCGTCCCTTACAACACGTCATTTGAGTATGGTTTAAAACACTCGTAATCATACTGAATAGAGTTCTAGAATACGACCCTAAGAGACGTATTCCGGAACTCTACTCAATGCTCAAGTCAGGATTTGAGCAGACTTGAGTATGATTTCAAGCACTGGAAATACGACCCTAATGGCAAGGACTTGAGTATGATTTCTAGTGCTTTCAATCATACTAAAGTCCTGACTTGAGCATTGAGTAGAGTTCTAGAATACGACCCTAATAGTCGTATATGTTATTTAATTAACTATTTAAATACCATTGGAAATGAGTCCCATGTGCCTGTAATTTCATTAGCACCCTTACTCTTAAAAATCGGAACACACAGTAATGCTGATATTATTGCTCGACGGCTGAAATAGGCAAGGTGGCAGTACTATATTGGACGAACTCTTTCACAAGAAGCTCTACTGATACTAAAACGCGTATATTGTTTTTTTTTTACAAACCAACGTATCTGGTCACCATGGCCACGGGTTAAACAGTACCTTTACTATAGTAAGTCACATTCGTCGCTAGAGTAAAAAAATAAATGTAAAATATAACTTCTTCTTGAGACTACTAGAGGGCGCTGAACAACTTGCCATACAAAATTGTCAAATACTTTACGCGATCACTAGAGGCAACTGTCACCAATATCATTGATTGTCACAGTAAGCTCATAGTAGAGGAACAGAGCAAATTATGCGATTTCGAACCGAAACTATATCCATTATAATAAACTATGGAATTTACGATATTTACTTTTTTACCTTAAAAATATGCAAATCCCCATCTATAAATAATGTCTGTACATTATTTATGAATGGGGATTAGCGCTTATACAAATATTAGGCATAGGAATTCTACTTATCGCAGAAATTAGAAAAACAATAGTTACTTTTTGGACAGAGGACGTAAATTAACACAACTGCCTCCGTGGCCGAACGGTTACCATGCCGGACTGCCACGCAGAGATCCTGGGTTCGATTCCCGGGCCGGGAGAAGTATGTGTAAAACCGACATTTATTTCTCTCGCGAGTTTGGGTGTAATTTGTGGTTGTCTATGTATGTGTCCATGGCACCCGCGACACACGGTTTCCCTAGTGCGACGCTATGAGTGTGTTGCGTTATTATTATTATTATTATTAAAACTGACCAAGGGTTGAAAAGAAACTAATCTGCAAACTGTCACCTATCACTTGTATTTCTAGAAAAGGGAATTATGGTATCGATATCAACTGATAAATTTTTATTATAGACACAAACATGCCTGTGCCGAAGAGCCCATATGAAACGATTCGCATCAGTTTCCCAAAGTGGTGTATGTGGTCAAACCACCTTGTTCTTGCATTTTTGCAAGACCAAGACCACTTTATATTAGTAAGACAAAAACCAAGTATAACGCAAAACGAAGCCTGGGCTTAGGCTCACACCTAACACTATCACCTCCACTAGAGTCATTAAAAAAGCCGTCGTAAGAGACGCGTTTGCGCACTACGTCTGATTCGTATCAGTTCCGAATCCGAGAAACCACGGTCTGAAATGTCACAGGGATCTTTTTATCCCTAGGCATACAAGCGATATTCGTATCGATATTCGAATAGGACTTAGTGCACAAGCGGCATCCGAAGTGGGTTCGAGTTTTCTAGATTTGTATAGTCTCGGATACGGAACGAATACGAGAAATGACGGTCGGAAATGTCACAGGGACAATTTTATATCTAGGTGTACAAGCGATATTCGTATTTTCTCGGGTTCGAATCAGACTTAGTGCACAAGCGACAATCCGAAGTGGGTCCAAGTTTTCTAGAT